CCCCAACTTGCTATACGTGTTTTTGTATGTCCCCTTAGAGTTTTGCCTTTGAAACTATAAACAAGCCTAATATCCCTTCCCTTTAGGATTAGTAGTCCTAAATGCCTCCAGGACTGATATGATTGGGGCGGGTAATAGCATGCAATAAGTAAACGAGGCCATTACGCGCTCTAATACCCTAACGGGGTGGGAAAGGGTAGATATGGATATGATGACCACACGATAACATCACGTGTAGCCCCTCACTGAGGAGTGATTACCAGATGTTGTGTGGGGTGATCCATATTATTTATAAACCTAGTACCCCCCTCCCTTGTTTCTTTGTTTCTTTGCTTCTTTTCCAATTTCAAACCATTTCTTTAAGAGAAAATCAGCTTTCTTTTGGTTCTTTCTAACTATGTTTATTTGTAACCATTATGTGAAAATCCCCTCTTACTTGAAGTCTTTATTTGCTTATGTGTTATTTGCGCTTAAGTTCACAACAATAGTCTGGCCGGGAACCACACTAGTGGATCTTGAGGGTGCCTAACACCTTCCCCTCGGGATAATTTCAAGCCCTTACCCAATCTCTGGTTACTCAAATCAAACCCTTCTTAGTGTCCTAATGCACTTTAATCATTAGGTGGTGACTCTTCAATTCAAACCCAATTACCCAAAAGGGAACGAGTTGTCCTCCCAAATGTCATAAACCCGATTACGCGAGAAAAAGGGGGCACAACAGAAGACTCCCTATGAGTTACTTAAAGGGAGAAAACCAAATATATTCCATCTTAGGTCATTTGGATGCAAGTGCTTTGTGCACAATAATGGAAAGGACTCCCTAGGTAAGTTTGATCCCAGAAGTGATGAGGGAGTATTCTTGGGATATTCTTCACTTAGCAAAGCTTATAAAGTGTTCAATAAAAGAACATTGTGTATAGAAGAAAGTGTACATGTAGTTTTTGATGAAACTAACATTCTTTCTGAGAGACAGGAACATGAAGATGAAGCTATTGGGATGGTAAAAGATTTGAGTGAAGTCTCAGCTCAAACTAAAGTGGCACCAAAAGAAGGAACAGGTAATGGAACATGTTCTTCCATCTAGGGCAACCTGACAGGGGGAACTGATCAAAGAGGAACTGAAACTAATCCCCTAAAGGAACCTATTCATGACCATGTTCCTCATCAACAGAACATGGGAGAAACATCAAGCAGAAGTCAGTTGGTTGTGAAACCTCACAAGTATCAAAGTTCTCATCCCATTGAGAACATAATTACTGATCCAACCTCTGGAGTTAAAACTAGATCACAATTAAAGAATATGTGTGCTTTTGATGCTTTCCTATCTCTTATTGAACCTAAGAATGTTATTGAGGCTTTGCATGATACAGATTGGGTAAATGCAATGCAAGATGAACTCAATCAGTTCGAGAGAAGTCAAGTTTGGCATCTAGTTCCAAGACCCAATGACATATCAGTAATTGGCACAAAATGGGTCTTCAGAACAAGCTTGATGAAGATGGAACAGTTACAAGAAATAAGGCAAGACTGGTGGTCCAAGGTTATAGCCAAGAGGAGGGTATAGACTATGATGAGACCTTTGCTCCAGTTGCAAGACTGGAGGCAATAAGACTCCTCATAGCCTTTGCAGCACACATGGAATTCACTCTTCATCAGATGGATGTCAAAAGTGCCTTCCTGAATGGATACCTAAAAGAAGAAGTGTTTGTTAAAAAACCTCCTGGGTTTGAGAGTAAGGAATGTCCTGAACATGTGTACAAATTAGACAAGGCTCTCTAAGGACTCAAGCAGGCTCCTAGAGCATGGTACGAACGATTGTCCAAATTCCTGCTTGAACATGGCTACAGAGGTAAAATTGACAGTACTCTATTCCTGAGGGAAAAAGGTAAGGATCTTCTTGTGGTACAAATATATGTTGATGACATAATTTTTGGGGTAACCACTGACAAACTAAGTAAAGATTTTGCCAAATTAATGGGGAGTGAGTTTGAAATGAGTATGATGGGTGAGCTTAACTTTTTCTTAGGCTTACAGATCAAACAAAACCCAAATAGAACCATGATCCATCAGCAGAAATATGCTAAAGAGTTGATCAAAAAGTTTAAAATGGATGAATCAAAGGAAATAGACACCCCCATTGCAACTGCCACAAAATTAGACGTAGATGAACCTGGTTCATCTGTTGATCAGAAGTTGTATAGGGGTATGATTGGTTCACTTTTGTATCTTACTGCCAGCAGACTTGATATAGTTTTCAGTGTAGGGCTTTGTGCTCGTTTTCAGGCTAATCCAAAGGAATCTCACTTGACTGCTGTCAAAAGGATACTGAGATATTTGAAAGGCACTACTGATCTGTGTCTTTGGTAACCTAAAGGTATCTAGTAGTGCATGTTGATGCTGATTATGCAGGTTTCCTTGTGGATAGGAAGAGCACCTCAGGTATGGCTCATTTTCTTGGTTCATGTCTTGTATCATGGGCCACCAAAAAGTAGAATTCAGTGGCCTTATCCACTGCTGAGGCTGAATATGTTGTTGCTGCCTCTTGTTGTGCTCAATTGTTGTGGATCAAACAGCAGCTGATAGATCTTGGCATTGAAGTTGGTTGTATTCCTATCTTCTGTTATAACACTAGTGCTATAAGTATGACAAAAAACCCTTTCATCATAAGAGGACTAAGCACATAGATGTTAGACACCACTTCTTAAGAGATAACTACGAGAAAGGATTGATTACCATAGAGTTTTGTGCTACTGATAAACAAATTGCTGACATCTTTACTAAAGCACTGAGTAGAGAAAACTTTGAAAGGAACAGGTTAGAATTAGGGATGATTAAGATCACCTAATAGGACCAGCTCAGAATGCACAATGAAAAAAAATTGAAAAAAAAATGGAAAAAAAAAATTTTTTTTGGCTAGGAAATCTGAACTTGTGTAAATATCTAGATTAATTCTTACTCAGCTTCATACTGTAATTAGTATACTCCTGTGACATGTGTTAATATGACTCATTGATCTCTTATAAAATTATCTCTATTATGGTAAATTGAGGCATTGTCAAGAGAATGGTAAATGAAGAACCTGGTTCATCAGTATTGGTTCATCTGAATGCTAAGGTATGTTTTCTATACTCTACACAATTAGAAATATAAATATATAAATCATGAGCAGAAGTCCTATAATTGTTCAACTCCTTAGAAAATTCTATCCGTTTGGTTTTGAACCAGTTCCGTCCACATTAGAACTCTAAACCACAAAATTGGCCTAAAATCTAGGGAAGCTTAACCGCTCATTCAAACCTGAAATTTCAGGTTGATTAGACCTCTAATTGACCACTGCCAAAGCTGTCGTTATACATTAAATGTGTATTTCTCTTTAAATACCATCATTACCTCCTACCATCTTCATAATTCTAAACCGTCAAAAACCCCTCTTCACTTCTAATTGCCTTCTTCTCTAAAGTTCTAACCCACTAATTCTCTTAAGACATCAGCGATAATGACAAACCCACAAGACAACCCTAGAACTCCTCCACAGCCCACTCCCTCTGATTCATCTACCTCTCCTCCACCTAGCACAACTCCCAAACACAGGCTGAGAAGGGTAAAAATGCTTGCTCGAAAAACAGTAGCTTCTGGGGCTCTTTCAAAGAAATTGAATGAGAAATTAAAGGCAAGTCAGGTCCAAGACTTTGAGTCTAACTCTGATTCTGAGTCATACAAGTCTGCTAGTGAGGGGGAAGGACCTGGGTCTTCTGACTTGGAGAAGGCTTAAGAATCCCATTCTAAGGTAATTTCTTCTTTGACTAAGAATTTAGAAACTAGGTTTGTTCTGGTTGGGCCTATCAAGGATGTGGAATTACCTGAAGTAGGTAGGAATGGTGGTAAAAAGAAATCTGCAAAAGAAAAGGAGAGAGAGGGTGAATGTGGAGAAGTGAGGGGAAAAGGGAAAGGAGTGGTTCATCAATCACCCACTGTTGATTTATCTATACCTGCTATTTGTGGGGGTGGTACCAGAAAATGTTGAAGAGAGTGGTAAGAAGTCAGGGGGAAGTGGTTCTGGTAAAGCTGCTGAAAGGTTAGTTAATCTAAGTTCACAGGGAGATGAACCTGGTTCATCAGTTGAAGAGACCCTAGCAGACCTTTTGAAAAAGGTAGGTGCCAGTTACGATCCAAAAAAAAGGAGAACATCCACACCAAAAGCCCCCAGTGCTCCTAAACCTTCCAAGAAAAGAAAGGCTTCCTCCCCAACACCTACTGACACTTCCTTTCCAGAGGGAAGAGCCACAAGAAGCAGGGTGAAATAGAGTGAGGCTGATCTACAAAAGGCCTTAGCTGAAAGTAAGAAAAAAAGAATGGATAAAGGAAAAGGGAAGGTTGCAGAGTCCTCAGAAGCTGTTGAAGTTGAGGAGATGGAACAGGTCCATCAGGAAAAAGTTACAACAGTGGAAGTTCAGACCCCCAAGACCAAAAAGCCCAAGACTTCTTCCAAGAAGTCTTCCTCTGTGTCTGAGGCTGCTGAACCTTCATTAGCCAAGAGGACTAGGTCTGCAGTGAAAAGTAAACAAGTTCGAATTTTTGAAGATGAGGAATGGAGTGGTGAAGAAGAAAAAGGTGAGTCTGAGGATGAACAAGATAAGCTTGCCATGTTTGGCAAAAGAAAATATTTGAAGGGAAGATTGTTGAAAGATTTGATGGAACCAGGGATGGTTTGTTTGGTTGACACATTAGTTGTTCAGGGCTAGAAGGACATGGTCCTTCAGATGAATAGGGCCAGAAATGAAATTAGTGAATTCATGGCCAATGCTGAAGTCAAAGATGGCAGGGTTACAAGCAAAGTCAAAGGAGTTCAAGTGACCTTTGATGCAGAGAAACTGGGAGAGATATTAGACATCCCTACTGAGGGATATGATGATTACACCAGACAAAGATGGCCAAGTCTGGATTCTCTTCCATCTGCCCTTACAATCACTAGGAGCTTCTGTGATGTTGAAGGAGTGAATGAGGCCAAGTTCGTACATAAGAGTGAAATGAAGCCACAACACAAAGTTCTTTTTGAGTTTGTCAACAAGTGCCTACTGCCCAGGCAGGAGAGAAGGCATATTGCAAATTATATGGACTTAGTTCTGGTGGAGTGCCTTGAGAGTGGAAGGCAAATCAATTGGCATGCATTCATCATCAAGCTACTGGACAGGGTCATAAATGGCTCCAAGGCTCATGCTACCCCCTATGGCTTTATTCTGACTACGGTTCTGGATAGGTGCAATGTGCCTCTGAAGAAATGGGAGATGGCCTCAAGCAAGGACTACTTTGGCATTAACACTCTGCTTGCTTGTGACTACTTAGTTGATGCCATCCAACATGAACTTGGTTCATCCAAGAAGACTCCTATCAACAGTAAAGTCAGGGCTCTTGTTCAGGAAATTGAAGCCAAGGATGCTGAGATAGTTAGGCTCAAGGCTCGTGTGGCAGAGGTGGAATAAGAGAGGGATGCTCTCAGAACTGAGCTCACCAAGGAAAGGGAGAAGAATGATGGAATACTGCACAATATTCTGAATCTTCTCCAAGCCCAAAACCAACCCTCTAGCTCCCCCAAACCTTAGGAATTCTAGCCTTTATCTCCTGAACATGTCTAGTACCTTCAGTGACCCGGATTAGGGATTTTTCTTTCTTTTTGCTCATGTTTTAAATATTTCTTGCTTTCTGGTTGTGGATTGTGGTAGCAACATATCTTATATCAATGATATCTACTATTTTTGCTCTTGTTCAATGTTAATCTTTCCTTGATAGTTTAAATATGTTTGTTGAATTACTGATGATTATCCATGATTACACTTGCAGTTGCCCCATTGGCCATGAGTACTTTTTAAAATCTAGGACTCACACTTTGTATGCAACTTTTCGATGATGCCGAAAGGGGGAATAGATATTGTGCTTAACATATTCTGGATAAGTGATATCTATAACCTAATTAACCTGGTCCTTGATGATAAGTGAATTGTCTAAACTTTGTATTGATGGTTAAGCTGAGTTCTTACAGGATCCAAGTAAGTAAAACGCACAGAGTTTGTCATCATCAAAAAGGGGGAATTTGTTGGCCCAAGAACAGGTGAAGTTTTGAAGACTGACAAAAGAACCCAGACATGGACCAGGTCCATCTTGTGAAGCACAATCATGATCAACTTGTACATGTGAGAATCACGTGAAGGAGATAAATCTAACTTATCAAGAAGTAATATCTCCTGATCTGATCGAAAAGGTTGCATATTGGATAAGGAGAGAAAGACTCCTTATATGAAGAGAACACAGTTTAGGAAGAGGATAGTGTTAGAGTATGAGATCAACTTGAACTCTTCTACGATAGAAGAGTGGTATCTGTATCCCAGTCAATCTCTAATTACTAACCTATTAAATATCAGTGTTGTTCTCTTTTACAGGTAATGCACATAAGCAGAAGTTAAACTTAAATTGAGAGCAAAAGAGCAAGGTGATTTTGCAAGCAATTTATGTGTGATTCGAGTGTGCAATCCTGAAGCTACTTGAACAAGATAGAAGAACCAGTTCTAAGTGTCTATCTTTTATTCTAGTTCAATTGTAGTAGGTGATTTTACATTGTACCTTTCAGCTTTCATAGAAGCAATTGTATTAGGTACTAGAGTGTTCAAGTTAGAGTTAACTTGAAGTTGTCGCAACAGTTGAGGCTGTGTGCCACAACGGGATTAGAGTTAATCCTTAGATTTACAAAGAGTTTTGTAAATGCTGTTTTGGCTCAGTGATTTTAGTGAAAGTTTGGGAAAATCCTACTGAGTAGTAGGTCGTGGTTTTTT